TTCATGTTGGAGCATCACAGGGAGGTCCTGGGGGGCCGAGGGCGTGGCAGGGTGTGCGCAGTGGCTGCGCACCTGGGCGTGGCACCCCTGAGCCCCCTCTGGCCGGGTCCCGCGGGTCCTGTGGCAGGAAGGTGGCGTGTTCCTCCTCCCTCAGAGACAGGAGGCAGGCCTGAGACCCCAGAGCGGTGAAGGAACTCCATGAGCGGCCCCCTTTTCACGCCCCACTGCACACTCCGCACAGACGGCAGTGGTTCCTGACTTTGTCAAGTGTGATTGGAGCTCCCAGTCCACGCGTCCTCGGGAAGGGAGCTCCGCCACGTGCACCCCCCATAGTCCCCGTCGTCGCTGGTGGGCCGCTCTCCAGGCTGCTCTGACGACCCCTCGCCGCGACCACCTTGCTCTGGCCCTCCGTGGGGAGCCCTGGTGGCCCTGTGCCGTGGGGAGGGAGGTGGGCTTGCACTGCTCTCGTCGTCCTGCACGTGGGGACTAGCCCGGGTCCTCCCCCCACCCCCGCAGGAGAGCCCAGGGTGGGCGTCTGGGGAGGGAGCAGAGTGTGGCACGAGGCAGCCGGCTGCCCCGCAGGGGACGGCAGTGGGGGGTCAGCACCTAAGCAGGGGTCTCATAGCTCAGGCACAGACAGATCCACCGCGGGGAGCTCTTCCCAGGAAAGGCAGTGGTGATTTCCTGCTGGCCTCGGTTGGGTCTTGCCACCCCTTACCGTGGTGAGCCCCGAGGTCTCTCAGATGTTCAGTGTCCTGTGAAGGGGATGGTGTTTTAGAAAAGCACCGTCAGGGGAGGGCTGAGACCGGGACCTGGGGGTGAGAGTGGGGGTTCTGGGTGATGCTGGCTGAGTTAGTCTGTGTGGTTCAGACGGACCTGCTTCTCTCCCGCGCTTCCCGCTGTCTTCACGCTGCTGCTGAGCGACGCCCCCTGCCCCCGTGTCCACTGTTGGCTGCCGCCCGGGAGGGACTGGCCCTGGGGGGCCGTGCACCTGCAGACGAGGTAGACACACAGCTCGCAGCAGGGGGGTGTGTCCCCGAGTTGGTCGTCAAGCCCAGATGGCATTTCTGTCGTCTTCACCAGCTGGGTGGGGGCGGATCGGGCTTCAACCGGGAACTGGGGTGTGCTGTGAGCGTGGGGGCGTTCGGGCCGGGTGAGCCAGTGCCAGCACCGTGGAGGCTGGTGGACCCCCAGAGGCTGTCCGGCTCTGGTGTCGCCGGCTGCCAGGCCTTCGCTGGCTGGGCCGTCGGCGCGATCCAGCCCTGCCAGGCGCCATGGGACCCACTCGCTCCTCCTAGACGGTCTTCGTCTGAGGCTGGGAGGCCTGGAGTCGTCGTTTTGGTCACGACTGGTCATCTCTGGTAATTGGCAGTTAGTCGCGGGACACCAGGAAACGGGCCAAATCTGCGTTTGCTTCAAACGTGCGTTCAGTGGCTTCCCAGTTGGTGAAAAGTCGTACTTTCTCTTATGATCTAGATAAAAATCGTGGACCACTGTGCTCTGTTGTCGTGAAACAGATGCCTCAGAGCTCAGGTTAAAATAACAGCATTTCTTCTCCCGCACGGTGTCTGTGGCCCGGCTGGGGTGGCCGGGTCGCAGGGAGGCACTGCCCCGATCAGCGGCAGCCAGAAGGCATGCGTCCGGAGTGCCGGCCTCCACGGTAGCCGCCCCCCGCCTCGTGCCTTGTCACCTCTCCTCACCTCCCACCGTCCTGCCCTCTCTGCTCCCACTGCAGCCCCCTGGCGAGGAGAGGGCTGCTGGGTGGTGTGGAACCCTCCTGGTCCTAGAGCCTGGCCTCCTGCCCCAGCTGGAGCACCTGGGGCGCGGGGCTCCTGCGTCTGCCTGTGACAAGGTGGCCGTCCTGCCGGTGGCCTTGTAGGCTTTCTGCACCGTGTTCTCCATCACACCCTGAGCAAGAGCATTGGCAATAAATAGTCTTTCTGTTTCCCGCGTTTGCTAGCGAGAAGCAGTCTGGTACCTCCTGTGGTTCTGACGTGTGTCACGGACGTTTCTGTGCCTGGGAGACTTGCTGTTGGGTCAACTGGCCACTGTCCCAAGTGCAGGCCGTGCAGGCGTCCGCAGGAGCCAGTGGCCAGCGCGTGGACTTCCTCCTGGGTCTTATTGACCGTGCTGTAGGTCTTGGCTTGGGCACGAGGCAGGTGCGTGTTTACCAAACCGGCAGCTCTCCGGAAGTTGATCCCGTGGAGGCGGCGTACTTCCAGAAACGGCCCTGGGTCCCTGGGTCCGTAGCACCCAGGCGGGGTCGCAGCTGGCGGCTGCCAGTGTCTGGCGGTTGTGGCCCATGGGCCGCTGGCCCGGCAAGGAACGGCAGCCCCGTCAGACGGAGCCCGCCCGGCCCTGCGTCTGGATGCGCTGCTGGGACAGCCTGCTCTGGGCAGGGCCACTGTGCATCCCGGGGCTCTCGCTGGGCCCTGTGTGCTGCATGCGTGGTGGGGGCTCCGCGAATGTGGCTCCCGTCTCGCGGGAGTGCTGGCGGGTGCAGGAGACACAATGGTCCTACCGCGCGAGTAAGCGGCGATCGTGCTAGGGTTTTCCCGGCGACGGCGAGCAGACACGATGCTTGCTGGTGGACCCGTCTCTCGTCCAGGCCTCGGGTGGCTCCCTTCATCCTCTCGGCGCTGCCAGCGTCTTCCTTTCTGTCCCAGTCCCTGCGTTCTCCCGGGACCCCTCAGCCCTGACACTGAGATGGGCGGGAGGGACTGGCCTCTTCCTCAGTTCCCCGACTTCGCCAGAAAGGGCTGTGCTGGTCTGTTCCTGGCCCGGGCTGCCCGTTGGATGCCTTCTGCAGGCACTGCTTGGCGGGAAGAGGGAGCCCTCTGCTCCAGGGAGGATGGGCTGCGTTGACTGATAGTGTGAGTGGACTGGGTGTCCCCTGGGGGAGCTGGGGTGCCTCAACTTGGTTCCTGATTTGGGTTGTGAGGCATTGGTTGCCAGGGTTGTGCTGCTGCTGTGCCAGCCGTGATCGCCATCTCTCGGGGAGGGGGATGGCCGCGTTCTTGGCCTTCCCATGAGCGGCCAGGACCACCGTGCCCGTGACTGCCGTGCGGAAGTAGGACATCCAGTGGCAGCAGGTCGGGGCACACGCCGGGTCCTGCCGGTCCCACTGAGGCAGAGCCATGTGGGCAGCGATGGGCCCTGTTCTCCTCGGGCCTTTGTGGTTCTTGTCTCCATTTGCTCTGGTGTAGACGGGTAGTGGACCAGGAGGTCAGGGCCACTGTCTGGGCTGGAGCGCCCTTGGGGCCGTGGGCGGAAGGAGCCAGCAGCGCCAGGGGTCTGCAAGGAGCCTGGGGCCGTCGGACAGGCGCCGTCGTCCGCGTGGGGGACGGAGGCCCTCCCCTGCCTCGGCTGGCTCCTTGCTCTGTGACCTTTGGTGTCCTTGGCTCTGGGGTTCTTGGAGCCTGTTTGCTAGGACCAGTCTGGTGCTGCTCCCCCAGCAAGAAGAAAGGTCCTCTTCACCTGCCTCCCGGCCGGTGACCATCCAGTCCAGCCGGGCCTCGGTGGAGATCATCCTCGCGGGCCTGCACTTGGCTCCCTCCGTTTCTGTGGAAAGCTGGGGTTTTGGAGAGTCCGGGAAACATGGCCTGTGTGGCGTTCCCAGGTTCTGAGACCGTGCAGCGGGCCCCTCCCTGTGCAGCCTGACTTCGGTCTCCGGTGAACTCAGCGGGTGGGACGTATGCTCTGATTCCGTGTGTGGATTGTGCATTTTGGGTGCGTTTGGTTTGTTCACTGTGCGCCCAGTGGAGATGGTCAGCCTGTGCCCGGGCTGCCGCAGGCCCAAGGTGGGTGGTCCCCTGTGCCAGGCCCAGGCGACTTGTCACTGCCGCAGGTACGCTTGGGACTTGGCCCTCTGGAGGCCTGGGCCTGTCCCCCTGGGGACTGCGTTTGCTCAGGGTGGGGGCCGTGGGGCTTCCTGGAGAAGCAGGATGGCGCTGGGAGCTGTGCTCACATCCCCCCACAGGCTGGCCTGTGCCCGCACAGACGCGGGATGCGCTCTGGGTGTGTTTGAGGTGACGGTGGACACGGGCCTCAGGCCCTGGACGCCTGGGCGTTCTTGGGGGGTTCTCCTGCCGGGCCAGGAGCGGTCAGAGGCCTGGGCAGGAGGGAGCTTGTCTGCCAGGCTCGGCTGACCTTTGTTGTGGTTTGTGTGTGTGTGTGTTTATGCACACACGTGTGCACGTGTGGGTGTAGTACCTGCATCTGTGTGGACGTGTGTGTGCCTGCGGGTGTGAGTGCATGAATGAGAGTGTGGAAGCAGGTGCCTGAACGTGCCTGCAGGAGGCTTGGTTTTCCAGGACCCCCCAGGCCCTGTGCCGGCTCAGGGTGGTGTGCAGAGGCCCTCGGCTGGTGCCTGGTGAAGGGGGCGAGCTCTGGACCTGGGCCGCCAACAGGGGAGCGTACCCACGGCTGCCTCCTTCCATGGGAAGCCTAGAGGAGGCAAGGCAGCAGTCATTCCTCGACCTGGACATGACCTCTGGCAGCGTCCTGGAGGACGCTAGGCCTTTTCTGTGCCTTTGCGCACTGTGCGTTGTGACGTTCCCCCCGGTGCCCCCAGTGCCTCGTGCTGTGCGGGTGTCCTGCTCACAAGGCGGGGAGCCCCGCATGCCAGGCGCACCTCACGGTGCCGCTGTGCCCACGCTCCTGCCGCGCCCGGGGCGCCGGGGGGCCCTCTTCCCAGGTCCCGTTACTAGGCTGCTCTCGGGTCGGGCAGATGAATTTTCACGTCCACCCGCGCTATGCCCTCGCCGGGCTCAGGCCGGCCCTTTAACGCGCACGCGGACATCTCCGCACGTCTCTTCTCTGCTGAGGGTCCGGCCGGAGAGCTCGCGGTGGGAGGCCCTGTGCTCCCTGCATGGTGTCCCGTCCTTGTTTGCGTAAGGGTGACCGTTGTGTCTCTTTAATGCTGTAACTTGCAGCCCCTCCGGCGGGCTGGCTTGTCACTCTCTCAGACGCGCTATTTACTGTCCTTGTTGCTTTCGCAGGCCGGTCTAATTGAAGCCAACGGGGAACTCAAGGTCTTCATAGACCAGAACCTTAGTCCTGGAAAAGGTAAGGCGTCTCTTTCTGAATACCCTTCTGTTGATGAGAGTGTTCCGTGTGCTGGATCTGCGGGTTTCTCTGCTGTGAGAGTCCCGGTCAGCGGGGCGGCCCTGCTGCAGGCGGGCTCCGGCCGGGCCCGGCGGAAGGGGCGGCGCGCTGTTTGGAGCTCAGCCGGATGCGCCACCCGCGGGGGCCACCTTGGTCTGTAAGTCACGTGCTGCATGTGGACATTCGAGAATGTGAAGAAGCGCGGGGAGCCCAGGTGTCTGCTCTGCGCACGGCACCGGCCAGGACAGCCTTGAATCCAGGGCTCGTGGTGCACACGCTGTGTGCGGTCAGCGTCCTTGCGGTCAGGAGGCCCCGTGTGTATGTTCATGGGCGGGCGTGGAGGTGGATTAGTCCAGCCCCTTCACCCCCAGGGCCCCACGGCTCCCCCCATAGAGGGACCGTGAGGAACGGCTGCCAGTGCGTTTGAGCTGCTGCTGGTTTCCTCGGGGAGACTAGCCATGGAAGCGCCGGGTCGGAGGAGACGATGGGCGACCGCCGGCTGCCCGTAGCACTGTTGACACCTCTGCTCTGTCCGCGTCTGCTAGACGGAGGCCCAAACATGGGGTCTCTTGGCTCGTGAAACGGGGACTGTGGCCCAGCCCCTTCTCTTCCATCCGTTGCTGGCGATTGGGATAGGAGCCCAGCTGTCTCCTGCCCTGCGGGGCCCTTCCACGTGTGGCTCAGGCCGGCGTGGTTTGGGGTGGCGGGCTCATGCCCTGTCCCTTCTGTGCCTTCGGGATGTCACCTTCAGACACCCACAGAGGCCCTCGGGCCCTGCAGGGCCCCCGGCCTGTGCCTTGTCAGGCTCAGCTGGTCTCGTCCCGCTGGCCACTCTCCCCCACGATGGGCTGTGGGCCCGCCCGTGCTCTCCTGGTTTCTGTGTTTTCGGAAGGCCGTGGGCAGCGTCCTGCTTTTCTGTGGATGCCGTGCCCTTCTGCTTCCGGTACAAGGACGGAGAGCCTGCTGAGGGGTGTAGACGGTTTACCTCGGTGGCTTTCACCGTTCACAGAGGCTTGGGTGAGACGCTGGAGTGTAACCAGGGACCCTTAGGGTTTCAGGACGTGTGGGCGTGACATGTTTTGATAAACTGATGAAGCAGAAGTAATCGTGAAAAAGTCCGCAAACCTTGCTCCCTTGGGAACGACGGGCACCTTTCGTCCTGGTGTTTCTCTTGAGTGTCTTTACTGTTTGGGGACTGGGGGTCTCACCTGCTGCTCATCTCCGTTTCCTTCTTAGCTGCGGATAGTTTGCGTCCTGCCGAGTCTGAGGGTGGGGTGGGGGCTTGGGTTGGGGGGTCCAGAGAGCATAGAACACTCTGGTGTTAGCTGCCGCACGGTTTAGGTATTTCGTGTCCCTCTTGAGGCCGCCTTACCTTGTCCGGGGTGCTCCCGGCAGGCTCCGTGCTCCGCTCATGGCTGGACGAGGAGAGCTGCCCCTCGAGGCTCTCCAGACCTCTGCCTCTGCTTCTGCACCTCTGCTGGAACCAGTGTAGGCTCCCAGGTGCCTGTGCTCCTTGCCTTCTTCCGGGGTGCTGCCCCTGCCCCTGCCCCTCGGGGGGGTGAGCCTGTGACCACATGGCCGCGCCCCAGCTCCGGCCCCGCCTGTGAGCCGCCCGAGGATCTGTGCGCGTCCCAAGGAGTTGTTCTAGCCCAGCCGTTTGTCTGTTGGGTGGGACGCCCGGCGCTGTGCTGGCGGCGGCCGGAGCGGGACCGGGCTGTCGGACGGCACCAGCTCCGTCCCATCCTGCCTGCCGGTCAAGAGCGTTCCCACCTGCAGTCCCCTTTGCGTCCGGCTCAGGAGTTTGAAGGATGATTTTAGGCCACGGGCTGCTGACTTGAGCTCCTCGCTTTGGGCTGCTCCCTGGGGTTTGATGAGGTTGAGGAGCCTGTGCGGGTCGCGCGTCGTCTGATTCACAGTCGCTGCCGGCAGTTCCTGGCGGGGTTCGGCAAAGGCTCGCCAGGGTCGTGCTGAGTGTTGCCCACACCCTCTGGCACAGACTTGTCTAGGAGCCCAGGGCTGTGGCCGGCAGCGTGTGCCGAGAGCCGTCCCTCTGGAGTGACCGCGAGGGGCAGTAGCTGGCTCTCACTTTGGGGGGTTCAACAGCGGGGTGGGGGGCGGTCACAAGGACGGCTGCGGCCCTGGGCCCAGTGCAGGCTGGGCGTTGAGGGGCGGGGCCCGCTCTCACTTTTTGCCTGGACCTTGTGCCCCCGCGCCCCCACACCCCGTGCCCTATGTGTTGCACCTGCAGGGCCAGCTTGCCACTGCTCCTAGGTCTACCCACCGAGAATTTGGAAATGGGCGGGCACCTGAGCTGTGCTGGGCCCGGGCACTCACAGGGACCCTGCTGCCCTCAGCTGGTGGTGTGAGCCTCTCCTGAGATGAGGTCTGCTTGCCTGCTCCTGCCCGAGCTCTGGCCGTGGTGCCCCGTCCCATGGTGGTCCCATGCGCTCCCAGGAGGGTCTTGCTGCTTTTGCCCTGTTCGTTGGGTCCTGGCCGCGGCTCTGCTCGCCCTCCTGGCCTTCGGTGCCACCCGTGCCTCTGCTTTGCCTGCCTCTTCTTGCTGCGGGTCTGGCCGGTTTCCAGATCCCCGCGTCTACAGACTTCTCCAGAGGCAGAGCCTGTGGGAGGCCGTAGCGAGTGCGAGAGAGGCTCATTTTGTGGAACCGGCCCTCATGACAAGGGGGCAGATGAACTGTGCAGGGCTGGCCGGCAGCCTGGACGTAGCAGCACTCCTTCCTGCCAGAGCAAACCTGGTTGTGCTCTGAAAGCCTTGCACTGGTTGGGCGGTTCCGGAGGGTATCCTTGCCTGAGGTCGGCTTCCTGGTCCAGGGTACCTCCAGCGGGCCTGGGATCGGATAGCAGGGGACGGGCACCTGCAAGGAGGTGTATCGAGTCCGTGGCCCCAGCTGTCTGTACCCACCAGCCCTGGAGACCAGAGCCCCCCAGTCAGAGACGGGAAGTTTTTACGAGAGCAGGCCTACTTGTGACGCGCTGGGGCTCCTCTGGGGCTTTGCCGACGGCTGTGATGCTGTGAGCCTTGGCAGAGCATTTGTTCCTGGACGCGGGTCTGACGCTCACGACCAGGGACCACGTGGCATGTGGCGTGGCCACACCGTTGTGCATCTCTGCCACACACGGGTGCGCCCGGCCGTGCACTCCCCCAGCAGCGCCTCCCCTTGCTGAGTTTTGGGTTCTGGTGGCCCTGGTGGGTCCGAGCCCCTTTGCTCCTAGGCCTGCCCCGTGGCGGGGTCTGTCCAGGTGCTTCACTGGCCCAGTTCCCCTCTGGCCTTCCTACTGCGTTCTCCTCTGCCAGCCATCCGGCTGCACCTTGGGGCTCTGGCTGCCGTCCACAGCCACACGTGCACCCTCCCCCTGCGATGTGCCTGCTGCCTGCCCGTCCCCTGTGCGCAGCTGGCGGCGGCAGCTGCGGCTGGTGGGGCTGCAGCTCGCGTGCGAGTCTCTGTCACCACTTCTCGCTTGCGCTCTCCCAAAAAGATTCTTCATGACACAAACGACACGTGCTCCTGAGGAAGCCCTGCATGTTCCTCAGCATATAGGCAAAGTGTGCGCTCCCCATTCCATAAACACTTTCCTGACCCGCAGTGTTGGGGCGTGTCACACTTGCATGCTCATCCAGTCCCTACCGTCATGTGACTTAACACGTGGCTATCGCTGGGCCATTCCTGGAGTTTCTAGTGCCACCTTTTGTCACCTGGCAACTTTTTGGTGGCGAGCTGTGACACCTGTTGACTGTTGACAGAGACCCGTCTACTCCCTGAGGAGCTCCGTGCCTGCGTGTGCTCCGGCTGAGGGGCAGGCCCATCTCTGCGGAGCGCTGCTCCCTGCGTCTGTGGCCGCGTCGGCCTAGGGAGAGGGCGTCTTTTCTTCTGCTTCAGGGTTGCCTGACTTAGAAGGGCTCGGAGGCAGGAGGGATGAAGTTTTGGGGATGCCGTGTGGCCGGGGACCTGACATTGTTGTGTAATTCTTAAGTCCTGGTGACTGCGGCCCCCAGACTGCATGCACCTGCGCACACAGTGGGTCAGTCCAGGCTGGTGTCCTGCGGCGGTGGGGAGAGGGGCCTGCCGCAGGAAGAAGTGGCAGCACTCGCTGAGCCCCGGGGGGCGCCCTCCCAGGGAGCGTGGAGTGGAGGCGTCCGCTTGTTCTCCCTCCTCCTGCTTGAACCCAGAGGACGACTGGACCGTGGAGTGCTGTCCCAGCTGCTGAGCCCTGCTGCTGGGTGTGCAGTGATGACTGGCCATGGTGCCCACCAGAGTGTGTGCCGTGAGGCGAATGGTGAGGGCGGCGTCTACCCATCTCGGTCCCAGCGGGCATCCTGAGATGCGGTGCACCTTAGCTTGGACGGGGGGGCCCTTCCAGGGTGCTCAGCTGGTGAACAGCGGGCATGGGTGCCGCAAGCGCTGGGAGCGGGAGAGCGGGGAGAGAGGCCCTTGCTGCCGCTCCAGGGCCTGCGGGGCAGGGCAGCTCCTGCTGTCGTCTGGGGCCAAGCCGTGCACACCCTGGGCATGATCTGGGGGCCGTTTTGGCTCTGTGAGCACACAGAGTATCTGTAGCGTGGCGGTCAGAATCATAACTCTTAAGATGTTAGGTTCTCACCTGGCGGGCCAGAAGGAACTGGCATGATATATTCAGAGCACTGAACAAGAAAAATACGCAGCCCAAAATACTATATCCTGCTAGACTGTCAGTGAAAATAGAAGGAGAGATAAAAAGCTTCCAGGACAAACAAAAATTAAAAGAATTTGCAAACACTAAATCAGCCCTATAGGAAATATTAAAAGAGGTCCTCTAAGCAAAGAGAGAGCCTAAAATTAACAGACCAGAAGGGAACAGAGACAATACACAGTAACAGTCGCCTGACAGGCAATTTAACGGCACTAAGTTCATATCTCTCAATAGTTACTCTGAATGTTAATGGGCTAAATGCCCCAATCAAAAGGCAC